CCCGATATTCTGCTCCTCTGGTGAGTGGGGAACAGGCGGGAGGAAGAGAGCCCCTTCCCCGGCACAGAGCCCCCTGCCATCCCCCCAGCAGAGGGCCCAGAGCCACCCCTCCCCTCCCCCCAGAGCTCCGGCTCTGCCCGCCCCCACACACCTTGACCTCGTCGGCATCCTGGATCGGGTCCTGCTCCTGGTCCTTCCGGGCCGCCTCGTGCACGGTCTCTGCAGGGCCAGGAGCAGAGGGTTAGGGGGACCCCAGCCCCCTGCCCCACAGCCCCCTGCCCAGCAGGGGCAGGCCCCCCCCACGCACCTTGAGCCTGCAGCTTGGCCAGCTCCTCGCTCAGCGTGTCGTACGACTCCTCCAGGTGCCGCTTCTTCAGCTCGACGCTGTGCATGTACTCGCTCAGCGACCGGATCTTGGCCTCGTGCTGTGGGGGGGGGGGGGGGGGGGGTTGGGGGGCCCCCCCCCCCCCCCCCCCCCCCCCCCCCCCCCCGGCCCCCGCCCCAGGAGCCAGCCCCCGGCCCCTCCCCCCGCCCCCCACCAAGGCACCACCCCCATTCTGCCATCCCGCGGCTCCCGCCCCTCACCTGGGAGATGAGCAGCTGGCAGGCGGCCAGCTCCCGGCCCGTCACGGCCATCTTCCGCTGGCACTCGACCTGCAGCGCCTCCAGCTGGCGGCAGCGCTTCACCACCCCCTTCACCTCCGCCTTGATCTTGCTGATGTAGAGCCGGGCGACCGTGAACTCCTCCTCGATGGCCCCGCTGATCTCCACCGGCTGGGGGGGCAGGGAGCTGAGAGCCGCCCCTGCCCCTCCCCCCACCCCGCTGAGAGCCGCTCCCTCCCCCATCCGCCTCCGTTCCTCCCACCCCGCTGAGAGCCACCCTCTGCCCCCTCCTCCATTCGCCTCCCTTCCTCCCACCCCATCCCCTCCCCCTCCCCCGCCCCCTCTCACCAGCTTGATCTCCCCGTTGCCCACAATGACGCTGAATTCGCTCAGGTCCTTCATGAGCCCGTTGAGCACCTCGGCCACGCGCTTGCGCTGGCGGGTGCCGAACTCCTGCAGACGCTGCAGCTCCGTCTCCAGGGCCAGCAGGGTGCTCTGGGGGGGGCGAGGGGGGAGAAGAGCAGCTCAGAGCCCAGCCCGGGAT